ATGTACAATAAAAAAAAAAAAAAAAAAAAAGGAAGAAAAGAAAAGCAAGCTTTCTTCCGAACAAGCAAGCTGAAGAGGTAGCAGGTTGTGCTGACATTTAAAGATAAGAGCACCAAAGTGAAGCTCCGGAACTGCATCTAACCTTGCAGCTGACAAGAAGAAAAGTAACAGTTGCACAGGCAACCAAAACCGGTCAAATTACAGGGATGGAAAACCTCTAAGCCTTGAGCTTTCAACCTTTAACAGTGTTGCGGGGTCTTTTGGGATTGTTTTTTCGTAGTGACAAGAACCCTTGCCGTGCGACAAATCAAGTCGATCGCACCAATTTCTCCTCTTCCCGAGCTCAGCGTTCAAGGCCTACAAGAAGGAAGCTGCCCCGGCTCCTGCGCGGTGCCGCGTCCAGAGGAGAGAGAGGCTCTTTGCCTGACCCTGACGCGGGCGTGGGGTGGCCACCGGGAGCCCTCTGGGCCCGGCCCGGACGAGCGCCGTGCCCCGGGCGGGGGGGAGGGCGAGAGCTGCGGCCCCGTAGCGGCTCCGGGCGCGGGCAGCCCCGGGGCGGGCGCAGGGAGATCCCGGCGCGGCGGGGCCGGGGCCGGGGGCGCGGCCCGGGCAGGCCCCGCCGGAGGGACGCGGCCGCTCGGCGGGGGAAGGAGGGAGCCGAGCGCAGACAAAAGCGGGTCGCGGCCGGCGGCGGGGTGGGGCCGTGACCGGGCGGCGGCGCCTCCGCTCCCGGGGGAGAGCAGCGGGAAGAGGCCCGGGGTGGGCACGGGCTTCCGCCGGCCCCCCGGTCCGGCCTGGGCTGGGCTGGGGTGGGCGTCCCGCGCCGAGCGGCGGGCAGGGGGCGGCGGGGCGCGGCGGCTCCTCCGTCCTCCCCGCCAGGAAGGGAGGGGAGGGGAGTGGGGCTGGGGCGGCGCCCCTCGCCGCTTACCTGCGGCTCGGTGAAGAGGATCTCCCTCTCGGCCGCGTTGGACGCCATTTCGCCGGGGTTTGAAGTCCGCACCTGGGCGCTGCTGCTGCCGCTGCCGCCGCCGCCGGCGGGGAGGGGAGCGAGGGAGGCGGGTCCGGGGCCGGGACTAAGGGCGCATCGGGGGCGGGGGGAGCGCTCCGTGCTCAGGCAGGCGGGCGGGGGTGCGCGGGGGGGCCGCCGCCGACCCCTCTGCTCTCATGGGGGTCGCGATGGGCTGTGGGGCGCGGTGCGGCGCGTTCCCCGCGGGGCGGCGCGGAGCGGCGCGCTCCCCGCGGTGCGGAGCGGCGCGCTCGGAGCGGCGCGGAGCGGCGCGGTGCGTTCCCCGCCGTGCGGTGCCCGCGGTGCGCTCCCCGCCCGGGCGCGGCGCTCGGCCCTGGCAGCGCTGGGGCCGCCGCGGCTGCTGCGCCTGCGGCCGCCGCCGATGTCGCACCATTTGGCTGTCACCCTGTCGCAAAGGCGTCGCTGCTTTGCGGCTCCCGGAGCACGTGACTGTGCGGGGAGGAAGAGCGGGCTCCCTCGGAGGCGGAGAGCGGCGCGCGCCCCCCGGCCCCACCTCACCCGCGCGGGCCGAGCGGCGCGAGGCGCCGAGCGCGGGAAGGCGGGCGCGAGGCCCCTGACCCCCCTCAGCCCCTCAGCCCCTCGCTCCTCTCAGCCCCTCGCTCCTCTCAGCCCCTCACTCCTCTCAGCCCCTCACTCCTCTCAGCCCCTCACTCCTCTCAGCCCCTCACTCCTCTCAGCCCCTCACTCCTCTCAGCCCCTCACTCCTCTCAGCCCCTCACTCCTCTCAGCCCCTCACTCCTCTCAGCCCCTCACTCCTCTCAGCCCGTCAGCCCCTCAGCCCCGTCGCTCCCCTCAGCCCCATCGCTCCCCTCGGCCCCTCACTCCCCCTCAGCCCCGCGGCCGCCTCGCCGCCTCCCTCGTTGCACGCTCCGCTGGTTGGCGCTTCCCCATCCATTAGGCTCCAGCTCTGGGAATCCTGTCGTTTCCTCCTGTGGTGGCGGGATTTGGGGGGCGTCTGGCACATTCCGTGTGTTGGGGGCTGCAGAGGCTCGGCTCTCCCGGGCCCAGGAGACAGGTGAAGCCCTCAGTTTGTTGGGTAGCGAAGGCAGGTAGCTCAGGAAGCAGAGTTCACGCTTGTCTCAAGCAGCCACCTGCCGCCCTGGGGACCTGCAGCAGTGGCCCAGGAGGTTGTGGTGAGTGGGGGCTGTAAATGCTGTTTTTAACAGTTTAAAGAGCGAAACATTTGTACTTGGGATGCTTGATGAGATTTTTGGGGGTTGGCGCTGTTCAGTTAATCTGCAGAGTAATAAGGTTCTCAGAGCTTCAAAATGGGTTTGAGTGTCTGGGAGGAAATGGTTTCTCTTTCCTCGTGGCACCCTGTGACAAGACCGTTTCTTTTCAGCTTCCAGCCTGTGCCGAGTGTTGGTGGTTTTCTTCATCTATCCATTAAACCTGTGCTTTCTGTTGTCGAATCTGTGCCCACGTGCTTTCTCATTCCACCCTAATAATTGATGCTACGTTCGGCTAATTGGACTAATGCAAAATGCTCTGTGGAAGCAATTATAGCTTTCTGGGGTTTTTTTTTTCCTCTGTGCAGTTCATGTCAAATTCATAAGCTGAGGCATTTTTGATAGATTCCACTTCATGCAAGCATCATCAGCATTTGTTCTGTATATGGTACTGCATCTCTCTATGGCTACAGACCAATAGTAGTCTGTTTGCTCTAGGAATGCAAGTTAAACTTTGGAGGGTTTGTTTTGTTCTGGTTTGGTTTTTTTTGAGGAAATAGGAGTGGGATAAGTCAACATTAAATTATCACTACTATTCCTAGCAAATTTGAAGCATTTTAAGTGTGCTTATACTTCACTGTTGAGCACCAAACAGGCCTGACGACCTGAGGTACTATCATGCAGTAGAAAAATGTTTGTGAACATATGCACACAGTTAGTTTCACATAAAAGAAATATTAAGATAATTCTACAGTAACAATGCACATATTTACTGAAATTACAGTTTCACTGACTTACATGTAAGTAGCTATTTGATACAGTTCATAATCTTTCACATACACTAATTTTTGTCTAGACTTAGTCCACATGAAGCCAGTGGCTTAATTTCTGTGCTGTGTGGCCAGGCAATTACAGGCTCAGAGGAAAACTTTACTTGCTGATTTTGTAAAAGTCACTATTTTTGAAAGGCTCTTATCCAATGAAATGTGTGCTAGCCCAGCCTCAGTGGCAGTGGTATGAATGAGTGCTATTTCAGTGGGCCCATGTCCACAGCCATGAAATGACTTGTGGCACACAGTGCGTACAAACAGGATGGGTGGGATGGGGAAAGAAAGGCTTTTATATAATAATTTCTCCTTTTGACCATGATAGAATGATTCCAAATGTTTAAACTTTGTTTGAACTGGTGTTGAGAACAGATGTTGAAGGATATAAAGAAGTAATCAGAAATTACTGGATTAATGTGACAGTGACTTCATGTCCTTGTCAGCATGTATGTGGTCCATTACTGCAGCTCGTCTCCTTGCCTGGTCCCATTGCAAAGAAGAATCAATGTGCTTGCGTGTCTAGTTTACAAGAGGTCAGAGGGAAGATTTTGCACCAGAGAAAATTCACAGATATGAATGGGTGTCAACAAAGTTAGTGAAGCTTTAATATTGTTTCTAAAACAGGCAGCTGGCTTTGGTTCATGCTTAACTTAGCCTGCCTATTGAGTGTAGCCTAGAGCATATTATTAGTCCTGTCAAGACAAGGTGTGTAATCTTTTTTTGTATTCCAAATGTTACTTGCACAGCTTGGGAGGACACAGTCCTAGATTCTTTGATAGAAGTGTAGTGGCACAGGAATCTACCGAGAAACTGGTTTGGTAAAACAATATTAGCTTAGTTAAAGCTCTGATTCTTAATAATTCGTCCTTTAGAGTCTGAAAAGTACAAGGCAGTCCTGAACAACTGCGGCTCTGCATTTAAGTACTGTGACAGTGAATTACTGAGCAAGAGGGAACATTCCAAATGAGTCCCAAAATAGAAGGCAGTTAAGTACGTAAGTCTGAGAATTTACCATTAGATGGAATCCTGAGTTCAGCCTGTGCCTTAAAATATCTGAATGCAATCTCTTCAGCCATTATTCTGTTAGCTCATCCCTGCAGTCAACTGGCGAGCTAGAAAAGCAAACTGAATGAAATTGATGTCAATACTATTGGCTAAGCCTTTTAATTGTTTCTTTTCTTCAGGTTATGTTATTAAAGTCTTTGTCACAGAGACCTGGAAAAATGAATAGCTGAGACTTTCAGTGTTCCTGGTACAAAACACACCTTGTGAACCCTTAAGCACAGTACAGAACACTTTATATAAGTGTTCAGAATACTGTAAGCAAAACCAAAGGTATTTTTTAGGATAGTTCTAACTAGTCTAATGTGTCACCTAAGGAGGAGCTTACTTTCACTTCGTGATGCATGTAGAAATGAGGATTGACATGTGAAGAGCACCAGATAGGTGTTAATTGTATTATTATACTTACTACTGGCAAAACTCTACCAGAAAAAAAAAAGTGATTTCTTTTTTAGGCTTTTGGTTAATGTTGCTTGTTTAAATTAGTGATGTAGGTAGAGGGACAACAGTGTAGATATGTGCCTAGATATGGGCAAAATTAAACTCTTGGAAAGAAGAAATTGGATATGATGCTACCTATGCTCTTAATAGATGAGTGGGGCAGAGCAATACTAGCCCAGCTCACCACCTTTTTAAGCACAGAACAAGCTCTAAGAATTAGTGACCTTGTTAATGGTGGGGTAAAGGTTATTTGGTTTTGCAAGTAATATTGATAGCTGTTAAAGGAAATACTTGTCTCATAAAGCAGGAATGCTAAAATTCACACTTCAAGTTGACTTTGGAATAGCATTTAAGTTCTTTCACTTAGGAATAATGACAACTAACTATATAAAAGAAATGTAGCCCCAACATTAGTTAAAAAAAAACAACCCTCAAACCACTACCACCACCACAATAGATTTTCAATAATGTAACCATTAATTGTCCCAGACTTCTAGACAAAGCAATATTACTCTTGCATAGTTAACCCTCTAAGTTGGATCCTTTAAAAACATTATGAAATTCTGGAACTGTGAGACACAGAAAAATGAGATGGAGAATGTATACATCTTTGCCTCCTTTATTTGTTTACTTCAGCCTGACGGTGTTGAAAAAATAACATATTAATGAATAGTTTCCATCTTCCTGTTTTGCTTTGCAAATAATTGTGGGAATAGGAGAAATCTTTGTTTTATAAAGCTTCTAATACTACATTTTCCAACAAATTTAGGAATAAATATGTCTAGGTCAGGTTAAAACGTGAGACAAAGAATAAATTTATATAATAATGTTTCTTAGATCAACAGTTTCCTGGTGTTTATGAAAGAAAATGCCATAAGGGAGAAAATAAAAAATTGAAAAAATTTGAAGTGTGGATAATTTTCCTTTTTTTGAAAACTCACTTCTTTCATAGCACTTCTAAGGAATTAATTACCTGCCTTACACTCAGATTTCTCAAAGGGAAATCCGTGTAAGAAAAGGCTCCTGAGAGCATGGGAGCATATTGATGTACCAGTGCCAGTGAAGGGGATGAGTTTATGGCACGTCACAAACAGAAAACTAAAATGACTACCTGCATTTATTTAGCTCTTGTGGTGCTTGCAAATTTCATGTATACTTAAACTATTCCTTTATTACTAGTTTAATTACACAACTAATCTTACAACTTCTATGTGGATTACTGTGATGTAATCATAACCCTCCCAGCAATTGCTGCACAGTTTCTGCTTAAAATTTGTCTTCTATGTTTACATACTATTACCCAGGGCTAAGTGTAGGTATATGTTATGAGGCGTGGAGTGCAACAAACTTTATCTTACTATCTGTTTTATTAATTCTGGACCCTGGAAGACTTGCAGTCAGTGAGAAAAGAGTGCTCCAGGGGAAGGAGGTTCATTCCTGTTCGTTATGGCCTGTGTTTTTCTTTTCCATCCTTCTCTTATGAGGACAAGTCTGCCTCATGCCAGCTAATGTCAGTGGTACCTTGAGGAGAGGAAAGCCCTACCTGTGCACAACCAGCTGTTAAAATCAGTCCTCATTTCCCTAGAGGAGATCAACTTGGATTATTTGAAGTAATAACAAAATGCATTATGTGTTTACATTAAGGCTATGAGCCCACAAGTGGATCAACATTATCGATCACCTATGCTAAGTCCCAGTGATTCTAATTAATCTTGATTGCAGGATCCAGCTTATTATACTTGATGTTGTTTCTGCAAATGAGCTGCCCAGATGGACTCCTGTGCTTTCATTGAATCCACTGAAGTGAATGGGGCCTGGGGGCCTGGTGCAGCACTGGTAACATCAAGACCTTATTTTCAACAATGTAGATAAGAGATCAGTCCAAGCAAGGTAGCTATACCTCTGGATAGTTCCTGGTCTCATTGCTTTATTTCTGTAAATTGCAAACACGTTACTTCAAATGTTGACTAGGGGAAAATATCTTAGTTTTTTACAAAAACAAGCCAAGATGACAAATATGTCATCCTGTTATGAAGAAGGCTGATTTCCTGAAGAAATGTAAGTGGCTGGCTGTGACCTAAAGTTGCTATGAATAAACGTCAGAAAATTCAGGCTCAGGAGAAAATTGAAGGACTTTATTTGCAGCAGTAAGGTGTGTAACTTCCTATGATTCTAGGAAAATCAAGTTCCTCCAAAAAGTTTTTCAAATATAAGAGTTTTACAACTTCAGCTGAAATCCCAGTCTGCATTTGGAGGAAAGGGAAATGTATTGCAAGGGATGAGTCAGACATGGCTTACCCAGAGAAATCTTTGCAAAAGAGATCTGTGCTTGAAAGGCTGCTGCAGGGATGTCTCTTGCATGTTTGTGGTGTGGGGTTTGACCTGCATATGGGCAGTCTGTTGCTTCCAGAAATATTAGACTGCAGATTTGCTAGCAGCTCACATCAGGGTATAAAGAAGTCAGAAGATTGTGTCCATTTTTTTCTGCATCATGCTATCGACAGACTTGTCTCACCTTGTGTTGTGGAAGTTGATGTGTGTGACTTGTGAACTTCTGGTCATCCTCAACCAATTTGAACTTGCTGTTTTGAAATCTGCAACAAAGACTGACAAAATCAGGAAGTAAGTCCTTTGTATGACATGTCTGGTGATACAGCAGCTATACATCAGTGTTTTCTTAACTCTAATATGTTTGTGGACACATAAATAACTATGTTGAATGGTCCTGAAACAGACTTCATCAGACACTCAGTCTTAGATGGTAATGACTTCTGGTCATGATTAACTTGATGGCTGTTTTTTTTTTCTCCATGTCTTTATCTCTTCTCAGAGACAGTAGCCTGCATATGTAACTCTGTCAGGGATTGAAGTCCTAAGTAGTTATTAACTTGTACTTAGTAGGCAATGTCTCTGAATTAAAAGGGCAGATCTATCTTCATCTAATGAACACTTAGAACAAGAGTTACCTGGCAGGTTTGTAGCTAGCTCTAATTGCATTCTTCTTGCTCTGCTGGGACGGACATCCCCAGGAGAAAAGAGAGCTTAAAAACTTCTAGAGAAAATGACAATTGCATTAAACAATATAAAGAGAAAAATATTCCAAAAAGTTTTGATACCAACTATGTTTTTACGTCCCCCTCACTCTTCCTTGTCTTAACTCCCTCACCTTCAATTTTTTTTATTCTTAGGCTGTGGCAAACATGCTGTCATGTAATTTAGTGCAGCTTTACATTGCTTTCATTTATGTTCTGCTGCTTGTGAACCCTGTGGTTCAGAGATGGCTTGGTACAGTGTATTCCCCTTAATTAAGTGTTATTTAAGCATAAGGGGAAGTAAGACTAATCCCCCTCTCTCTCTTCTTTCCTTCTTTTTTTCCTTTTTTTTTCTTCTTTTTCTTTTTTCTCCGCCATCCCTGGAGAGTGATGGTTATAACACAAGTGAGCGGGGAAGTTAATCACACTTATCACATTTGGGATATACCTTTTTAGCTACCTGTAATTTCCACACATTTCAGGTTCTTCAAAGGCATTTTCTCTTGTGTGAAAGAATCTGCTGGCGTTTTCATGTTTTCTGAAAAAAAACACAAGGTAGAAAGGCTTAGGTGAGATTTCTTAGGTTAGATTTCTGTAGTGAAGCCTAGTTACAAAGTTACTTGTGGAGTGACTCTTCTGTAAAGTGTCACTGTAAAGTGAAGTGATTTGGCGTCTGAGAGATTAATTAAATTCTTGTGCTTCTCGTAATTTGCTTAGATACATAAGTGCCAGTGATTTCTTAAAGTGTAAAGTGTTTTCTTGTGAGGACTTAATGTCATGGGTTTTGTGTTCTAGGGCAAACACTGGAAGTCTCAAAGACTAAGCTGAATCGGTTTGGGTTAAGTTGGTTGAAATGGATTCATTGAAATCCCACACTGTCACCCTGGCCTCGGCTTTGAATTGTTTATTATCATCACATAATGAAATCTAAAACTTTCAAGTTGATTTGTCTAGCAGGTAGTTTGCAGTTAGTGAACTTGTTTGTTCTTTATAAGAAAAATGAGCGTAGAAGCCACTGAAAAATGGGGGGGAAACGTTTTGGAGCCTTGACCTGTTTTCTGTAGCTACCCTGTCAAGGAGCAGTCAGCCAGAGGCAATCACTGAGGTGGACGTAATGGAGGAGAGGTCTGAAGGATACTGGTTTGATATTTGAAATGTGATAATGTGGATGTTCTTTATGTTCGTTTATGTCTTTGCTTGCTGCAGTGTTAACATGTTAGCTTTAACGAAGGCGGCTTTTACACAAGTGCCAGAAGTGTCTTCACTAATGCAGCATGCTCTCATTCTTGGCTTGTTCTTTGCTTTCTTCTCCTGGCTGCATACACCCCTCTTCCCCCCCCGCCCCCTGAAGTAGTTCAGCAATGGAGCAAGGCATACAAATGAACTGTAACAAAACATAATAATATAATAATAAGGTTTACCCTCCTCCTGTCCTGTATGCTTTCTCTTCATTCTGAGGTCCATCTGGTAAGCCATTGAACAGCAATGTCCTTAATGACTATTTGGTTGAGATAAGAGAGGTAAGAGATTAGATTAATTGAACCTGGGTGAAATGTGGTCATGATAGTGATGGACATGATGGGAATATATCAATGATGCATCTTCAGAAACTTTAGAACCATGGCTGCCTTCTGTAAGAGAGAAACGCACAGTTGCCTTAAGAGCTGTGTAAACAGCCTAGTGTTTGGGTTTTGTTTATCATAAATCATGATAGATAATAGTAACAGTTCTTGGAAGAAAGCACCACAACTAGACATTAAAAGCATGGATTTTCAGCATGGATTTTCAGCCAAGATTAGGACACAACAGTAAATCCCATTGCTATTTGCACCTGTTATGCAGGTGCACATTGATTTAACATTAGAAAAGTTCATTAATAGGACGTACATTAAAATGTATACTGTATTATGATGTTTAAAGACCTTAGATGCTGTAGACTGTTCATGATGCTTAGATTATCATACTTATCAATCAGAAATATGAATATTTCATAAGTATGGTATAACAGAAGTCTTTTAAAAGAAAAAGCAGAGGCCGGTTGGGGATTGCTTTTCGCAGGCTGTCCTTAACTGTGTTTATTTCTTCCCCTTTTTCCAGCAAATCCAATATTAAAAAAGGATTGTAAGACCCATGTAATCATTGAGGATTTACTTTCTTGGTGCCTCAGAGCTGCATTCAGCAACAACACCATTGTTCTGTTTTTAAACATAAATATCACCTTCACAAGGTATAGATAGATGTTATCAGGTGGTGCTTTGGTTAGTAAAAATAGTAAATTGTTGCTTGAAAATAACATTACAAATATAAATAGACGTAGCTTCAACTTTTGGTTTTATACTGACAGAAGGCACTGTAGCTCTACTGCCATCTTAGATACGAATTGGGACTCAAGCTAATGAGGTCATGTCTCTTTTCCTTTTGTGTTAGTACCAAATATTCTTAACTCTGAGTTTGATACTAAAATACAGAAGAATTCTAACTATATAGTAGTTAGGCTAAAGTTCAGGGTAGGATAGAATAATCTCTGCTGGCAAAAAGTGTCTGGTGAATAGACAGCATAGTATTCTGATAAACTGCTTAATATTTCTTAATGCTTAATGTTTCTCAAGATTAGGAAATGTAGATTTGTGAATTAATTAAATTAACAGTTTACCAGAAGTGGTTTAGAATTGCACTTTACCTTACACTGTTTCCAGTCTTTGCTTCAATACAGGCAAAATATAGAAACATTAGTGTTTATTCATATGCAGTTTTCCTTTTACTTGCATAATATGCAAGGACACAGTATTTCTAAGTATCCTTAGCCTAAAAAGGAAAAAATAAATCTGTAATGGAAAAGGTAAAAGAATCTTTAGAAATGGAATCTTAATATTAAATTGCTCCATCTAGTGGCTATTTTCTAAAATTGACATTTTTCTTTAGTGATTCTTATTCTTTCATAATAATTATGCCTCTTAAGAATTTAAGATTGAATTCTTCTTTTACATAGGAAGCTCTCTACCAAGGGAACTGCACATGTGACAAGGTACAAACTTTGATTTTCCTTCCAGTTTCTTCTGAGGATTTGTACTGTTTACTTCAGTGGAAGCGAGCCTTAGGTGTCCAAGTGCCTCAACTGCTTTTGAGATCTTGGTTTTAGTGACTTACTGGTTTTTTTCGGGTTCTTCTTGGGCCTGGGAGGGAAAACAGAGAAGCTGGATTGCATAAATAGTACAATAAGGATGAAATTTCTGATTCTGTGTCTAAGAGTTAAAATACCCAGTGACTTATGTACTGAGTCCAGTACATAGTTAGATGCATAGTGATACCTATTGAGATGCATCTCGTGTCTTAACATGAGAGAAATATCAGTTGCAGATTGTTTCATCCAAATGCTTTAACTAGCACTGATGCTGTACTTTTCATAATAATTATGAATAATTGAATGATCTGTTAGTGTAAGTATACTTTGTAAGCAATTGGAATTCTTGTGCCAATCAAGGTGAAAACACCTGTGTTTCCCAATTATGAGAATAGGAAAAAATTCAAAAGAAAAATGTTCAAGAAGAGATTTAATCCGGACATCTCTGATGCTTTATTCATTTGAACACCTTGAAAAGACAAAAAAGCAAAAAAGAGGGAGCTCTTGAGGAGACCTGCGAATTTCTTGCTGCCGACTGCTGTGATCCCTTGTGCAGCTGACTTTAATGGGAACTGAGATGCTTACGAATGCAAAATCGTAGAACAATGAATCACTTTCAGGGTGATTGGTATTGTTTTTCAGTTTCTGAATAGAGCCCAAAACTGTGCAACCAGCAGATGAAGTCTTGCAGAACACAAAAAACATTTAAAAATGAAAAGCAAGAAAAAGGGCTAACTAAAATAGTCTAAATCCAAATTTTAAGTATTAGATTTTTTTAAAAAGAAAGTTGTCTGTTCTTGAGAATGTAACAGGTGCATTGGACTTGCTTACTCCTCTGTCCTTTACTTTTGTCATTAATTTTTCAGTTTGGTTAATCTCCTACCTTTAATTTCCTGGTAAATTAATTTTCTCCTCATTTAATGTCTAAATACTCCTTTAATATTAAGAAACTGCTCTATAAGACTAGAAGAGTTGCATTGTATTCCAAGACTACTGTTGTTTTTATTATTCACTTGAATAATGGAGCATAGACCTTGTAGTGCACTTTTCCAGACTTCCTCTTCCCAATTAGTTTGGTCACTTATAATTGCAGATTGTTATTCCTATCTTCCTTTCCCAGGCCACTAAATATCACAATTGTGTAAGTTCCCTACATGCTAAGTAAAGTTTCCTTGCAGCGTACATTTTAACCCCAGCTGTTGTACTTTTGGCTTAACTTTCAAAGTTTGAAATATAAGGTAGCTCATCCTGATGGTAGTGCATGAAGAAATAATTAATTGCTGTGAAATGGAATGGTGCTTTATCTTAAAACAGTAGAATTTTTCTTTGAATTAATTAAAAATATGTATATGAAATCTTTCTTGTTTCCTGAGGCAGATATATTGTCAGAGTATGCCTTGTGCTGATTTGTACTGGTTCAGTTCTGTTCCTCTCTGGGGTTGCTCTGTTGTGTCTTTGTAGTGATTTTGATATTGGAAAACATCTTTGCCATTTTATTTCTCATCCCATCGAAAATGCCTTGCTATTGTAGTAAAACATAATTGTTTCATGGCTGAGCCAAACAGCAGCAGTCCCAGGAAACATTCAGCATGTGCACTGAGGGAGGCAATATTTGATGTACACTCCTCTATTTTTTTTCAAGATGTACTCATCAGAACCTGGCTGTTATCCACATGCAGCATAAATAAATATTTGGCATTGACCACTTTCTCTTTAGGCTTCATCTTTGCTTCTGTAATACTTCCTTGGTTTCCAGCACAGTATGTCTTTTTAAAAATGTTATGGGTGGGTACAAAAATGGTGAGCATGTTTATCTTTTTGCAGGTTACTGAGGGTACCGATGCTGATCCATCTGATCTGAGCCTTTTCTCTGAACAACTTCCATAGGACAGTGCAGGACCTGCAGAGTTGTTGGGTTTTTTTGGCATTATCCTGGACTTGAAGAGCTTGCTTTTCTCCCAAATTGTTTACATTATCAGGGTGCTTATTCCATAAACTTACTGCTGGACTGTGTGACTTAATTGGGCAAATAACTATTATTCTCTTTCATCAAAAAGTGATTCTAGATCTCCAAGCATGGCTAACCTCTTTCATTTTGGATTGTAATAAAATCTAATCTTACTGATTATTCAACCCTTTTTGATCATATAGATGTTATCTCCCTGAAAGAAATAAATGCCACATTTTTTTCTTTTTGTTTTGGTTTGTTTGTTTTCAGTACATTCTTACCATTGATGATTTTCTAGTTCGTTCAGGTTTAACTCCTTCTTAAACTTTCTTTCTTATGATTCTTATTGAGTATCATATTCTAACTTCTGTGGTGTTTCCATGGTTGGCCTTCTCTTAGCTAATTGAAAATAACTGATTTTCTCATCCACCTCTAATCAAAAATAATGTCCATTTTAGTGGCATGTACTGTGAAAAAGAAAACCAGAATGTGATTTCTTGTCTCCATGTATTTCCATGCTGACAGGTAAAAAAGCATTCTGCTCAGTTGTTCTACTCAGGTTTGTTTTGTTTTGGACTTTTAACCTCTGATACCATATGATCTTCAGGAATAATTTCAGTCCTAATATTGTAGCTAATCTGAAATTATTTTAATTATGTCTCTTCCATGACTGCAGAACAGCTAGTGGGCTGTTTTGGTGCTCCTTTCTAGATTTACTGCTATCAAAGCAGAAGTCAACATTGAGAAGCATTTTTTCAGTCCATCAAGCTCTCCTTGTCTGCATCCATGTTTCTGTGAAATTGTGAATCAAAGCTTTAGAAGCAGAACATCTGAAGCAGAATTAGGCATTCTTATTCTGGACAGGTGGAGTCACATGGTATTTCATTAGCATACCTAAGAATCCTTATGCAGAAGTCCTGAATGTCTCTGCTCGATTGTAAAGACAACCAGTAAAAAGGACCACTTAAGTACAGAGCAGAGAAGTGACACTGTACTTGGCTTTTGCCAAGACTTCTGATACTTCCTGTGTTTATTCCTAATGTGAACTTCCCACTGTTTAATTAAACATGGCTGCTCATAGCATCCTATTTTCTTTAGCAAATTCCAATCACAGCAGTTATTCTCAGACTTGACAGACTGGCAGCTGGAGATATGAACCAGGCATAGCGGGGAAAAATTGAGGTGTTCAAGGACTTCTAGATATCTCTTATCTTTTCAGTTGCTTCTCTTCTCTTTTTTTCCCCCTCTTTTTTTCTTCTGTGTTTCTAAACTGAATTTTGTCCTGTTATTCTTCTAGAGTAGAATTGTGGGGTTTAAGTTTTCCCTCCTCTCCTGTGAGTAAAAAGTAGGTTACGATATGCCAGGTGATTGGAACAGAACAGAATAAGGGATTGCAATGGAGGCAAACATTGCCTAGACGTAGCATTTTTCAGTCTACTTTCTGGGTTTAGCATTAGATTTGTGTGTTGGAGTGTAGAACTGGACATTGTAGAAAGCTCCAACAGAAAGACAGGATGTCCTTCTGAAGCACATCAATCTTATTTAATAACACTTTTCTGGAAAAAGTCTGTATATTGTGCCCTCAACAAGCAAGACAAGGAATTCAACCTCTGATTAAAGGTCCCAAAAAAGTTCTTGTGGGAATTGAGCTGAGATATATGTGCAGATGCAGCTGCTATATGTATCAGAATGTCTTGTGCAAACCAAAATTAAAAGTTGGTAGTTACTGTATTTGAGCAAATTTAGAGTCTGGAAGGCTGATGCATCTGGATCATACAATTTTGTATCTGTTAAGAGGTAACAGGCCTGTGTTACACTACGATACTGTAGGAGGATGCAGTGTCCCACAAGGCTATAGGAAATGCACCTGACTTACTGAGAAACAGAAACAACACCTGTGGCTTTCTAGTGATGAGATTGTTTCCTAAGGCCATAGGATGTTTTGCTAAAAAGGATGGATAGATTACATTGAACTTAGTTTGAAATTTGCCTCTATTATACATAATATTGTGTCATGTTTGTTTGCCGTAAGACAGTAATCACATACCTCTCTGCATGTTCTCCTGCAAACAGGTCTGCATCATGAATTTCCTGTGCACCATCACATTTATTGTTTTCTGCTTCCAGAGCTATTGAGATGCTTTCCAGTTACAGACTTAATTCTACAACTCACCCACCTTGTCACCATGTAACTTGCCATCCTCACAAGGTTGCATATTTGATCTTATGACTATTTTCTTTTCTTCCACACAAGAGGTGACTTTGAAATGACCTAAAACAATTGCTTTACTGTGTTATGAAAGAACACTTGGGTTATGGTGCTCAAATAGCAGGGTCTGCCACTCATGTGAAGATATGGAAAATAGTGGATTCTTGGCCTCTGAAAACAGATAAATCATACTTTTCTGACTTAGTAAAAGCTTGAAGACTTGGCAAAAATAACTGGGTATTAGTTTGCTGAAAAGAAATTTGGCAGAGCTGACAGGAGAAGCTAGGAAAATTATCAGCAAATGTGTTAAACTTTGATTCTAAGCAACCAAAGGATACCTGTCCTCATTATTTGTGTTAAGTCTCTGTGGTCACTTGGAGAAGAATAATGTGACAAATAATCCAAATGGATCAGTCATATCATCAGTATAATCAGTCATATAATCTTGCTTGGTTTCACTCCTTGATTGGAAAGCTAATTAAGTATTAAGGGGTTGTATACCTTTGTACTTTCTGTTTCATTTAATTCAGAAAGTGCAGTAGGGGATCTCTGCTTTGCAGAAAGATTTAACAACAGCATACAGGCAAAGGAGACTGCACTGCAGCATGCAAATAGTGACTGTGGTCTTACCACTGCAGAATCCTGTTTGAATTGAGTAAATCCAGTTTATTGGGCTGAGTATACACAGATTATCTGACTAATTTATGTATAGTAATGCTAATGTTGTTTTTTGAGACCTGTCCCTGTGCGCATGTGCTTTAAAGATGGCACTATCATACAGCATTCTTGTGTGGTTTGCCAATTATTTTTTATTTTGTCCAATAAGTCATCTTTGAAGTTAGAGTTGCAGATAACTTTCCTGTTTGTTCTGAGATTCCCAGATTTCTAAAGGCTGTAGAATATTTTAAGTCAAAGCATGGAATCCTATATAAAAAATGGACTTCAGTCATAATGCGTTTTTTGCTGCTTAGCACCAATGAATTGTTAGCCCACAGAAAGTCAATAGGAAATTACCTGTTAATAAGCTCATTAGCATCATGTAACTAAAAGCAGAATTAGGTTTGTATTTCAAGAAAGTTCATTTGTAGAAGACAGTTGAAATAACAGGAGTGGTGGCTTTTTGTTTCACCTTATGGAAAGAGATTAAAAAGATAGTACTTTTGTCCTTACAGTGAGTTCCCTGAAGGCCAGTAATTTAAATTCAAAAATGCTAAACATTTTTGTGATGAATTAGAAACTTTTCCTAGATTGTTCCAATGAAGGAACAATGTTCCATTCTCTATATGACAGTTCACCTTATCCAGATTTTTTTTTTTAACCATCATTGTGGAGACACACATGCCCAAAACATCATCATCTGTGTATTTTTCCTACCTTTCTGTTCTTAATAGGAAGTTGGGGCCCTCAAACTTTCTTATGTTGATTTGATGTTGTTTTTGTAAGCGGAACAAACTTCCTTAATCAGTAAACCAGAAAAATGGATGGAACCTGCTTTCCAAAACTATTTCCAGAGATAGTGGAAAACACTCAGTGGAGGCTTCTGTTAATTTAAACTGTTGAGTTGGCAGCCTTGGCCACTCTCTTCCCCACTAGGATGGGGAATAGAAACTTTTCCATTCCTGCTGTAACCACACATTCTGTCACTGATGACTGAATGGGTAAGATGCAAGGATAAAGGAAGTAGCTGAATTACTATACTTATTTAATCTTCTTTTAACTATTGAGATTTCAATTAGAAAAAATTGTAACTACAGTCTTGGCATTCATAGGAATTAAATGTCACAAGTGAAGCAAATTCTGTGTAATGACTTTCCTACAAGGATTCTAATTCTGCTGGTTTGACTTGCTCGGAAGCTGCTGTATAGGAGACTTCATAAGAACTCTAGGATCAACGGTTAGTATTTGCCTCAGTTCAGTAATTGTTTTCTTTTATGCTACTTTTTAGAGTGCTCTGACAAGGAAGGAATGAACAGCTTATCTTATCAAGATTTATAGTCAATAGCTTCTGTAGTCTTGTGAAGAAGACATCTGCTGTGCAAATAGCAAGGTTAAAGTGATTGCACATGAAGTAAATACAAACTTCAGCTAGTATTTCATCCTGAAAACCAGTCTGAACAATACTTAGATAACTTCATGTAATGAAAGCCCTTTCATAATCTTGACCCATATACAATTTTGTCAAATCCAAGGTCAGATAGAATTTAAAAAATAAGCTTTGTTTGAACTTCTGTAACCATGATTTCACAATTGTAAGCATGCTCTTTAATAAAAAAAAAAAAAAAAAAGAGCACTAGTGTTGTGTTGTGGGTTTAAAAAAAAATTCTTATATAAGTCTCAGAGTTTGATCACTTGTAATAGAAAAGAAAGTATTATCTATTTGTTTAGGAAATATCTTCTAAACCATTGCAGCAGCAGACAAAAGGAGTTCATTTCAAATTGATTAATGTGCTATAAGTGCCTGGAATTGCTTGGTCTAGTCACTTTGTTGCTTTCTCATCTCTCTGAAAAATCAAATGAAGCATCTGAAGATACCTGATTGATGCAGTCAGCTTTGTACTGATATTACAGTGCATTTCAGGAAATGTTCAAAGTGGGGCAATAATTTTCAATCTATTTTCAAGCATGCTGCAGTAAAGTTTTCTATCAGATTATACGAAGTCCATTTCTCAAAGAACTGTGGATTTTTGTGTTGTGCATTTGAGGGCAGGTGCTTTTATGCATGGACCTTTATAAATATGTATGAGAAAACGATGTGTTGGTGATATTGCCTACTGTTGTAGGATGCCGAGGTGCATTTTTTTTCTCCATAACCATACTACCTCTTTTGCTTCTATACGAGCTTTAATTATTTTATTTTCTCAGAAGCAATGTATAACTTGGTTTCAGTTCATATGGTATGTGCAAATTTTCCAAATCTTGCTGCAGAAGGTTTCAAGACCAAATCCAGTAATTCATTGGTAAGAATGTTGAAGTACAGGAAACTGTAACAAAGAAGATTATTTTC